GCTGCTGGTAGTTCCCCTGAAATTGTTGCTTGGGAGCGAAACTTTGGTTGTAGGGAACAAAAGGTTTATTCTGACCCTGCTGTTGTTGTGGAGGATACACTTGATCCTGTGGATTAGCAACGTTGGTGCTGTGGTAAGAAAGGTTGGGGTTGTTAGTCTTGAAGTTGTTATACCCTTTGTAGCCGCCTTGATTGTTGATGTAGCTGACCTCTTCTAACTGGTTCCCCTCCCCATCTTGGACTTGATACTGCTCGTCATCAAGTAGAAAGTGCACATTCTTCTGCTGGCCAAGGATAAGCCTATCCAGTTTCTCATTAAGAGCTTTCATCTCTTTACTATGCTTTGCATCCGATTCTCCAATACCTCTGTTGGAGCGATCAAAATCCTCGTTATAATTACCATCGGATTGAGCTAAGTTCTCAATTAATTTCCAGCCGTCGTCAACATCTTTATTCAAGAAATTCCCATTAGAAGCAGTGTCCAGCAACATTCTGATTTTGGGCAAAACTCCCCTGTAGAGTGTGCTTAGTAGAGAAGCCTTCTTGAAACCATGGTGTGGACACTGTATAGTGTAGCCTTTGAATCTCTCCCAGGCTTCACAAATGGATTCAGACTGCTTTTGGGTAAAACTAGAGATTTCATTCCTAAGCCTTGCAGTTCTTGAATTTGAGAAGAACTTTGTTAAGAAGGCCTTCTTGCAATCGTCCCAAGATGTGATGGAGCCAGCAGGTAACGTCTTTTCCCATTGGTGTGCTTTGTCTCCCAGTGAGAAGGGAAACAGGCGCAACTTGAAACTATCCTCACTAACACCGTTTATCTTGGTTAGGCTGCAGAGCCTGTCGAAGTTATCCAAGTGGTCTAAGGGATCTTCGAGAGGCAGACCATGGAACTTGTTTCCTTGAATCATCGAGATGAGACCACTTTTAATCTCGAAGTTGTTGTTTTGGACAGCAGGAGGCACAATTCCTTGCCTCTGATGGTGGTTTCTTGGTGCATCTCCAGCACCAATGTTTGCAGGCAGATTGTTGACATCTTGTTCATCAGCCATTCTGAAAGGATGGTTGTGTTCAAGGTCTGTAGTGTCTCTCCTTTCTCTTAGTTCTCTGTCAATACGGTCAATGTTATCGTTGAAAAGGAGGTTCTGGTTACCTTTTGATCGAGTTTGCATATAGCAGGGTTGTACCTGGATCAAGAAAACAACAAGAAAAACAAAAAGTTAATAACCGAAGTGAAAATTGAAATAGAACTTGATCTAAGCAAGTCTGAAATCTCAAATGTAACAAACAAACACCCAAATGGCAACGGCGCCAAATTGATAGTAGGATTTTAACTACGATCAATTATCCTTAAATCATTATCATGTCATTGTAGTATTTAAGGTGTCAATCCAAATGGGTGTGATGCTAGCAATCAAGATGCAATCAGATTTTTACAGAGTCAAGCCAAGCAATAACAGGTTTTGATGTTGTTAACAATCCTAAGTGATCATGCAAAAACAGAAATTGATAACAGAAATAGCTAATATACTCGACCAACACAGCCTGATGCCAAGCACTGGGCGTGGTCGAGTATCAGGTCGAGTAACAGCAGAAACTGCAATAAAACTACTCTACCACACAGTTCGTTTCCAAACCACTGTGTGTGGTCGAGTACTTCAAGTGAATTAAGCCAAAAACGAAAATTAAGAACCAAGTGACAAGATCAAGCAATCAAAAGCGATGTAAACAAAGAAATCAATTGGAAGAGAAATTCCCGAGGATGGGGTAATCGAGTAGTGAAGTCTCCTTAATCTAACAGGTGGTTAACATGCTCAACAAACTATCCCTAGACAACAAGTTAAATAGCCAAATCAAAGTGCTACCGCAACAGAGATCCTCAAGCAAAGCTAGTCCCAGACTCAATCACCATTGACGAGAGCTAACCTAACAGGCATTACGAATCAACAAGTTAAAGCCAAAACGCTCCCTGTAACCAATACCTTGGTACAGAGCCACGAATCTCTGGAATTAGTGGTTCAGACATTTCATCGAACACCTTTTGGGTGCGGAAATGTCTGGGCTCAGATTCCAGTTGATCAGAAAGCAATCAGCATTAAGAACAACTAATCCAGAAGGGATGTACCAATCAAACTCAACCACCTAGCATATCAAGGATTCTAAACTACTCTAACACATCCTCAAGAACCCTAATCACTACTCAAAATTCATAACCAAGAACACAAACCCAGATATACATAAAAACTTCATATTAGCAAGATCTCAACAAGATGAACAACTTTGTAGAAGAAATCAAAAGCAAATACTCAATAGATTAAGAGAAATATGGATTACAAATATGAAGAAAGCACTAATTGTTCTGCAGAATAAAACTTAGTCTCAAAATTATGAGAAACAACCTATTTATAGCAAATACTAGGAAACCCTAAATCACAAGACGACAAAGTATTAAGGCGGTTTACGGAGACATTCGGCTTCGTGCAATCGAGTGAAGAGGTCGAGCAAAGCTGGCTCCTTTGCGGTTTCTTGATCTGGTCGTGATGCGATCGAGTGACTAGGTCGAGTATGCACTCGAGTCCCGCTTCATCTTCTTCTCTTCCTTATGCTCAGTGTCTGGTTGAGTTGGGATCTGAGAAGCCTCTGAAGCGTGCAGTCGAGTGCTTGGTCGAGTAAGTTAGTGGAGGATACTCGACTGCGTGCTCGAGTCGTGATCTGGAGTCGTGGTCTACTTGGTGAAGGAGCTGGTACTCGACCACGAGGTCGAGTGGTAGGTCGAGTTGGTGAAGGAGAGGGTACTCGACTTGGTGCTCGACTTGGTGATCGACTTGGTGCTCGACTTGGTCGTGGTCGAGTGCATTTGGAAGGTCATGATGATGGTGCTCGACCTCGTGGTCGAGCATACTGATGGGTTCTGGTCCACTTCTTCCAATTTGCTCACCAACAGCTCCAAATCACCTGAAAACAACTCAAATATGCAACATGCATGCAAAACTATCCTAATCATGCAAAGTGATGACAAATGATGAAGAATGGTATGAAACAATGACGAAATGATGATAAAGTGATGCTAAATGGATGCTCAAAACAAGTAAAATATAGACATATCAACAGGCTGGTCACAACTCATCGATCATGTTTCAAATAATCAACGAGGCAGAGTGGAGAGCTTCCTAATTCGATACGCTCTTCAAACTACTGTTTACATGATATGGCGGGAGCGAAATGGTCGTAGGCACGGCGAGGATCAACACTCGGAACCACTCATCACAAAGTGGATAGATAAACAAGTCAGAAACCGGATCACAACTCTTCGACGTATGGGAGACAGAAGATACGACGAGGCGTACCAAATGTGGCTAGCTACTCGGAGCTAACACGTTCAAATTCTCATAGAATTCTTATCAGTTAATTTTTTCACGTTCAAACTCACGCCGCACTTCGTTGTAAAAACGTTTATTTTTTCTTTTGAATATAATTTAACATTAAATTCAAAAAAAAAAAAAAAAAGTTTACATGGACAATTGTTTTAAGAATTCGTTACGGTTGGATTGACAATCATGTCACCGAATCAAAAAGAGATTAAACATTTTATAGTCATTCAAATGAATTATATAATTTTCGGTCTCTATTAGTTTTTAAAATATGAATTAGGTTATAAAATTCAATCAAGCTTTTGAGAAAACCTCATTGATTAAGTAAACAAACAAGTTAACGTTAGTCAAAATATTGCTTTGTTGTTGGGTTTATTCATTATTTGATTTTATTTTTCCGAAAATGACATTCGCTCTTAACATTGATCAGAAAAATGAATTGATGTTTCACTTTGATCGGTTTTAGAATTAAATAGCGGATAAACTATCAAATATGAAAGGTTCTCTTCATGCATGATGATTTTTTTATTTTTTATTTTTTGATAAATGTGTGACGAATGTTTATGTTCTGAATCTTCATAATTAATCACTTTGACTGGTGAGGAAAAAATAAAGATGTGCCTTTCATGGCGTGTGAGTTGTGACGTAAAGGAGAGACAAAATTGATTCTTCTTGCTACCTAGTTTTCTTCCCAAAGTGGAAATAACGAAAGATCTGAGAAGAGAGACCCAAAAAAATATCTAGGATGTAGCAAAACCACACATATCAATTAAATATATATCTTTTCTTTTTGATATAAATTAAATATATATTTCCTATGTCAATAAAGTAAGTAAAATATAATGAATGCACAACCTTTTTCTTTTAGAGGGGAAGGGGCCAAAAATAATGAATGTATAACTAAAATGCTACAACATATTGATTTGAGTTTGATTAGTAACCTTTAACAGTTTCTTTTGCAAACGAACCATTTTAAAGATACCAATCAATAGCGATTAGAAGAAGCGGTTTGAAATAGTGGTTGGAGGAAATGGTTGCCAGCCACGTAAAGATTAAGTTGTTTTGTTGTAAACGAAACAGTTAGAGTTTTTCTTGTATTTTTTAAGTTTTAAAAATTTAAAATATTAATATTCTCATATACTATCATCTAAAGGAATTTTTAAAAATAGAAATATCTTTTTCTTGAATATTATTCATATTTTAATTTATTTTATATAACAACTTTTTTTAGTATTCAACCGTTTATTATCAATTACCAATAATTTAGCCGCTTGGTTTAACTTAACCACTTTTTATCTTACTATGTTTAACCGTTTTCTGTTAAAATGTTTTCTCAACAACCACTAAAAAAATTCTGAACCGTTATATTTAACTATGTTACCAATCGAATCCTATATGTTTAAATAACCTGTTATTTTTATCATCTATGTGATGTCCATAAATAATAATTTATGTTAAAATGTAGCTAACTCATCAAATAAATAAAGAAATCACAACAAAAAAAACATGCCATGAGACGTAGAAACGTCAACGACCATATGTGATCCTACAAGAAGACACGGCCACCACAAATCTCTGTCACATTCTCCTTCGTTTTCAACCTTGTATATTATTTTTCTTCTTTTCATTATTTCTCTCTAAATCTCAACATTTTTATATATACAACACACACGTTGAAACCAATAAAAATCTCTATTGCAAAAAAATACAGAAAAGAGTTCAAAATGAAGAACACCCATTTGCCTGAAGAATCCAAGGAACCAATCTCTCCGGGATCTTCTCACCGGAAACAAAACAAGACAGCCACGAAAACATGTTTGCCAGAGACAACGGTGTTGTCGGGACGTGAAAGGCTAAAGAGACATAGAGAAGAAGTTGCCGGAAAAGTTCCTATACCGGATAGTTGGGGGAAAGAAGGATTACTTATGGGATGGATGGATTTTTCGACCTTCGACGCAGCTTTTACGTCTAGTCAGATTGTTTCTGCTCGAGCTGCGTTAATGGCTGACGCCGGAGACGATGCCGGAACTAGAGGAAGTAGGCCTCAACGCCTTCGAGTTGAGAGTTCTTGTTGATTTCATTGTCTTAGAGAAATGTTTATGCAAATAATACCTCTCGTCATGATTTTGAATGTTTATTAGATACCTTATCTTCACATTGATTTTGGAATTTTGAACTATTGATACAATTATTCAAAGTTTCATATAGTACTTGTCTAATTGAATTGATTTGTAAATGGAATTGCCGGTGAGACAACTTATTTTTGGCTATTTATATAGTTTAATTTTGTAAACGTTGGATGATTAATTTATTTGCTATAGAAAATTAAGAGATATTGATTGCGAATTATATAGTGAAGGATTCATGTTTTTCTAATAACATGCAAGTCAGCTTTTTAAATTTTATTTTTCTTCCTAAACTTTCATTTTTTTTTTCTATCATGACATTTTGTGATCAACTTTTTTTTCTTCCTATCATGACATTTTGTGATCAGCTTTAGATTTTGAGTTTTCAACGTTATCATCAAAAACTCTCTATTATTATGATTCTTTTTTTTTCAACTACACATTAATTAAAAATTCACTCCGTGATTGGTAATCTAATCTGGAAAAAAATTGTTTACACAAGAGATTTCTAAAAATAAAGATATAGAATGACGAGCTAGACAATTTGCCTTAGCATTACAAGAGCGGAGAATACTAGAAAGAGAAAAAAAAAGGAAAAGGTCATGAAGCAAAACAATCTCATCTAGAAGATTGGAGAAAGCGGGTCACTCCTCAGGCGACTTCAATATCGACACTAGCTCTGTACTATCTGTTTCGAACACCTGGCAGTCAATCCTATTTGAGAATATACATTGCATAGCCCATAACAAAGCTTCTATTTCCGCGTGTAGTGGAAAAGGGCGAGTACGATAATATTTTGCTAGAACAATATGTTCGTCTCCCCAAAAGCACCACCATCTAAACCCATGGTAGGATCTGATTGTTTCCACGAACCATCAACCGGCATCTTAGAGTTTGTGAAAGGTAATCCGAAGTTTCTCCATTCTCAAGTAGTTTGTCCGAAATCAATTGAATCTTTTCCTGCATAACGTGTCCACTTGAAGCGTGTCTTACTATGTCTAAGGATTTTTAATTTTTTTTTTTTTTTTTTGATTTTTAATATTATGATTCTTTAATGCCCATTTTTAATTTCTTTTACTAAATAAGAAGATTATAGATTTTTTGATTCGTAGTTTCCCGAATTTGAACCATAGCTTATTCCTTAAGAAATACATAAATTTAGTTGGTAGAGCCTACATCTCCGAGCGCCACTCTTTTAAGTTTCTGATGTTACTATTTCCTTAGGGATATTACAAGATGAAAACGTTTTAGTTATCAAATAAAGAAGAAGAAAAATGTTTGAATCTCCGAGAATTAGAAAACTATCCATCGCAATACAATATATTCTCTCATACTATATACATAATTAGGTCGATACACAGTCACGTTTCCCGACAAAAATTTCGGGATCATTAATTTTTGGCCGAAAATGTTTTGTCAAGAATTTTTTTGGCGGGAAATTTTGTCAGAATCTTGTTTTGGCAGGAAATTGGGAAATTTTTTGGCAGAAAAATTCACTTTTTCATTTTGTTGACTTAAATATTTAAAAAATAAAATAAAATGGTCATTAAAAATTAGAAGAATGCATAAATGAAAATGACTAGAAAAGGTGTATTTTTTATTTGAAAGAAGATATCAAAGAAGCGGCACCTCTAACAATTTTTCACTTAGTTTTCTATTAACTACAGTTGACTTGCACTGAGATGAACATAAATACTCTTCCAGTCTAACTTAGAAGCTAGAACCAATAATAAAACATGATTATAGCAACGGCTGAAAGTGTTGCAAACACCAAGTTGCGGTAGATTAGCGACAATTACAAATTCGCCGCCATTCGCTTGACACAAATAGGTAACCGTCAATAGTTTGCTAAATCGTTGTAATTTTCCCACAAATTTTTTGACAAATTAGTGACCCACCATAAGTGAGTAATACATGTTCTTTTAAAACTTAAGAAAAAAAACAAGAGTTCTCTATATATTTAGATAATTTAGAAAACTTTTTTCTAGAGTATTTATATTTTATTTCATCTAGAATTCTTTATTTATTTATTTATATATCATTTTGTTAAAAACATTTCAATTTTATGTTTTATTTATGATTGAAAATAATACATAATATACAGTTTTTAGTTTTATATCAAAAACATCATAATTGTTTTTAAAACATTTATTATAAATAAAAATAGTATTTCTTTAATTACTTGATAACATTTTAGTATGAATTAAGAAGGAAAAAGAAAATAATCTTTTTACAAAAATCTTAATCGAATAAATTGTTTCCTTTAATATATATAAACTTGTCATAAATGGTTAACACAATACTTTTGACCCGAAAAAAAAAAGTTGATGCATTACATTGTATTCTTCTTTATTTTATTAAATACATTGTATTCTTTTTCTCAACAACGTACAATGTTCGAGGACAACTAACACATGCATGTACACAATCTATGAAAAAGGCAATATATATCGTCTATCAAGTAATTTAATAACCATACAAGGTATATAAATACTATAAACAATGTCATAGTAGCATCACAAAACAAAATACAAATTGTACAAACATTTAACAATGGGTGAGAGGATACAAAGAGTGTGTATGTCTATCTTAACAGTGATGGTTGTGATGCTATCACTTTCTGAAGATACGAAAGGTAATAATGATTTTGCTATGGCTCCAATGTCAGAGAAAGGGTTGCTGCCAAATCCAATGTCTTGTGTGGCAGACGCAAGAAAAATTCCTGATTGTGTAGAGTCACTAAAACAAGGCAATTTGAAAGATATAAAAAAAGAATGTTGCATTATTCTACTCGGTCTTCCCGAAGATTGTTTTGGGATTTTATTTCCTATGCGTTTCTACTATCGTGTCGTACTTAAAATTACATGCAAATTAATAGGCATTTTTTAATCTCATTTTTTTCAATCATTAGATTTTTTTTTCTCATGTAACGTAATTCATATTATTAATATTTCTAATAAGACCATCATTCTTTTAGTGATTTGTTAATCATTACCTAAATGATTATGTTATAAGTACGAAATAATATGTGTTTACTATAATAAATAAAAATTGGGCTACTGGTTGTGAGACTCTTTGTTGGGAGCGAGAAGGTTGACCCCTAGTTTGATTCTTGGTTGGGAGGGATCTTATATCCTGACAAAGAGATATATAAGGATCTCGACCATTAATTCTTCAAAGCTGTAATTAATTAACAAAAAAGACATGCTTTGATTTTTATTTTCTTTGCCCTTTGTTATGTGTTTTTCTTTAAGATTTTTTGTAAATTACTAGTGGTTAGTTTCATTTTTTCTGTTTTTTAAGACTTCATCACATTTTATCAAAAACAAATTTGTGATTTACTGTTAATAGAATTGATGATATGATTTGTAAGTAGCTAAACTTATAAGCTTTTGGTGAAGGCTATGCTACAATTATGGCTACATTAAGAATAAAATATGATAGAGTTTCAATTCTAGAGTGTGTTGGAACTTGGTTTGTAAGAGAGTGCGAGTGCTCAATAAGATCTTTTTAGTTTGAGTCAGAATGTGCTCAGTGAGGCGGCTGTCATACATATAGATTTGAAAGGATTCTTTGTTATGATTCCAACGATGTTATTTTGCTAAGGCATGATGTGAGACTTTCACGGAGGTGAGCATTCTCGTAGAAGGCTTCGTTTTGGAGATAGTGATGAGTGATGACATTTATCCTTGTTGGAACTTGTTTTTGACTATTGTTATGGCGGATTTTTCAGTGAAGACGTTTATCAGAATAACCGGATTTCGGGCACGATAGAATCGTCTAGAAAACAAGGTTTACAAGATGTCACTGGGAGAATCCCATCCCCAATTTTTTCTCCTTTCGGAGACCATTCTCCTTCTAGCATTGCGGTTATAACAGCAGGGGAAGTTTTGTTGATTAAGAGCACAATTTTGAAAACCGTAGTTTGTATAATGACTACAGCTTATGTAAATGCTGAATGTTATATTTTATTAATGAGAATGATTACACATATATATACTAAGGCTTAAGCTTAACCTAGAAACTAATTACATATAGATCCCTATACTATTTGTATTTACATATCCTTATACGCCCCCTCAAGATGGAGGAGCTCTTGTGAGTCCAATCTTGGAACATGCAGTAATGAATTGAGCACGCGGTAATGGTTTGGTAAGCACATCCGCTAATTGATCCTTTGTCGACACATGGGAGACGCGTAACATGCCGGATTGAATCTGGTTCCGAACAAAGTGATAATCCAAAGCAATATGTTTCATACGGGAGTGGAAGACCGTGTTGGCACAAAGGTATGTGGCACCGATGTTGTCACAATATATAACCGGAGCTTTGTGAATTGGAATGCCAAGTTCAGTAAGCAAGGAACAGAGCCAACGGACCTCAGATGCTGCATTTGCGACCGACCTATACTCCGCTTCCGTTGACGATCTCGCAACACCTTTCTGTTTCTTAGAACTCCATGAGACCGGGTTATTCCCCAAATAAACAATGTACGCATTGGTAGAGACATAGTCATCAGAATCTCCAGCCCAGTCCGCATCAGAGAATGCATGTAAAGTAAGTGGAGAAGAAGCCCGGAGAAAAATTCCATGAGTTAGGGTACCTGCAAGATAACGGAGTACTCTCGTTTTGCGGCATTCCAATGATCCTCTGTTGGTTGATGCATGAACTGCGAGAGGCGATTGACCGCATACGAGATGTCTGGTCTTGTAAAAGAAAGGTATTGGAGGCTGCCAATGACTGACCGGTACTGCGCGGAATCTTTGAGAAAAGATCCAACTCGTAGAGTGAGCTTCGGTGAAACCGGTAATGGTGTCAAGACTGGCTTGGCTTCAAGCATGTTATTCTTTGTGAGAAGATCAACAATATACTTACGTTGCATTAAGTGGAGGCCAGCTGCTGTGCGCGTTGCTTCGATTCCAAGAAAATAAGTTAGATCAGTAGGATCTTTAATGGAGAATCGGTCAGCAAAAGAGCGGAGGACTTGGGGCAATCACTAGCTTGTTGTTGCCGGTGACAAGAATGTCATCTACATAAACTAGAACATATGTGAACGTATTATCGGTACTCTTGATAAACAAGGATGTGTCGGCTAAGGAGTTGGTGAAGCCCGTTTGTAGGAGATGTGTCTTTAATGCCATGTACCAAGCTCGGGGAGCTTGCTTTAGTCCATAAATTGGCTTCCTTAGCTTACAAACATGGTGTGGGCGATCCTTGTCTACAAATCCCTGCGGCTGCGCCATATAAACTTCCTCACTTAGCTCACCTTGTAGAAACGCGTTGTTGACATCTAACTGCTTGATAGGCCAAGAGGACGCAACAACAATATCAAGGACCAACCGTATTGTCGTAGATTTGATAACAGGACTGAATGTTTCAGCATAATCTACACCATAACGTTGATTACAACCCTTGGCAACAAGACGAGACTTGTAACGTTGTAGCCGACCATCCGGATGGTACTTTGTTGTAAAAATCTAACGTGAGCCGATTATATTCTGTTGTGGCTGTGGTGGTACCAAATCCCAAGAGTGATTTGCAATTTGGGCATCATACTCTTCAGACATTGACTTGCGCCAACGCTCATCCTTCATGGCTTGAATAACAGTCCGTGGTTCAGTGGACTTAGAAATCCCTGCAACATGAAGATTAAATTTTTGTTTTGGCTTTGAGATGTTGTTTTTGGCTCTAGTTTGCATTTTGTGAACATTTTCCGGTGGTTGAGCGGGTTGGATTTCTGGTATATTTGGTTGTGTATTTTGGGAGCTCGATGGTGACGTTGGTTGTGTTATGCGGTTTGCGGAGGTGACAGAGGTAGGTCGGGACTGAACCGTGGGATTAGGTTCATTTTGTTCTTGAGCAGTGGGCTCACTTGACATTTGGTTTGGCTGGGCCTGGGTTTGTGGCCCATTATGAGGAGCAGTGGGCTCAGAGGCTTGAGAAGAGGAAGAAGAAGATGTATGAGAGTTTGTCGGGGATACCTGTGACGTCAATGGCTGCGAGGAGGAAAAGGACGACGATGGCGACGATGAGTGAAGGACTGAGCCCGGGGTTCCATTAATCGGCGTTAGTGATGGCGAAGTGACTATCGAAGTGACCACCGGCGACGAGACCATTGAGTCTGTTGTAGGCGTGAGCTGAGACGATTCTTGGACTGTTGAAAACGGGAACTGATCTTCCACAAATTGTACATGCCGTGACGTATAGACTCTTCCAGTGGGAACATGAAGACAAAGGTAGGCACTTTGTGACAATGAGTATCCCATAAAGACGCATTGTTGCGAGCGAGTTTCAAGCTTGTGTCTTGTATAAGGTTTCAACCATGGAAAGCAAAGGCATCCAAAAACCTTGAGCTTGTTATAGTTTGGTTGTGCTCCAAAAAGCTTGTAAAAAGGTGACTCTTGAGAGAGGACTGATGTGAGTTGTCGATTAATCAAATAGACAGCTGTTGCAAAAGCATAAGGCCAGTACTTTGTCGGGACAGCCGCGTGAGAGAGAAGAGTGAGTCCGGACTCCACTACATGTCGATGCTTTCTCTCTGCAACTCCATTATGTTCTGGAGTATGAGGCGGCGACGTTAAATGAGTGATACCACTTGTGGACAGGAACTCCCGTAAAGCTAAGAACTCTCTTCCATTATCCGAGAATAACGTCCCGATCTTCTTCTCTAGCTTATTCTCAACCAAAACTTTAAAAGCTATAAAAACCATCTTCACATCAGACTTGCGTTTCAAAAGATAAAGCCAAGTATATCTTGTAAAATGGTCAATAATGACGAGATAGTATTTGAAATTGTCACTAGAAAGAATTGGCGATGTCCACACATCTGAATAAAGATATTCAAGGGGTCGTGTTGAAACGATTGAATTTTGAGAAAAAAGAAGTTTATGGCTTTTATTAAGATGACAATCCAAGCAAGACAATGTTTTTGAAGAAAAACTTGAAAGAGGAAGTTTAAAACTAGAAAGCATAGTGTTTAAAAGAGAAGAAGAGGGATGGCCTAGTCGAGAGTGCCACACTTGAAGAGAAGCTTTGGGAGCAGTTGAAGTCGTCAACGCAGCAATCTGTTGCGGTGTCGCTGGCCACTCATAAAGCTCATTCTTAGTTTTGCCGTGTATTAATGGAACCCCCGTGCTGAGATCCTTCACCTGAAACGAAGCGGGGAAGAATTCAACGGATACACCATTAATATTGCATAAACGGTATACCGAAATCAAGTTGCGGTGAATATCGGGAACACATAAAACTCGATTTAAATTAAGAGCTCGTGTTTGAGAGGGAAGGAGTTTTGAACTAGTGTGTGTAATGGGCAGCGGTGAACCATTAGCCACAATGACATCGTCACCACCGTTGTACGGTTCATGAAGTGATAGATTGTGAAGATCCAAAGTCATGTGGTGAGTGGCTCCACTATCAAGGAGCCACGGATTCGGATCATAGTAGGAGCCACCAACAGCGAGATTAGCTCGCGGCTGCCAAGGACGAAACGGGCTGAGCTGCGGTGGGGCCATTGGCATTTGCGGTTGAAATTGAGGACATCTCCTCGCACTATGGCCCTGCGTGTTACAGATTTGGCACTTGCCAAGGTAGGGACGCGGAGAGCGTTGCTGCGATTGCGGATAGAAGGAGGAGGAGTTACCATAGTTGTTGTTGTATTGCTTCTTGTTGTTGTTGTTGCCACGATTATTGTGTTGTTTTGTTGACGTTGCTGAGCAACATTCGCCGTAACAGGGATGGCCAAAGCCATTTTGTCCGCCGCAGCCAACAGCTTCACTTCATGATTGAGAAGACGCTCATGGACTTCAGCAAGAGACGGAGGCTGATCTTTGCCTTCAATTTGGTCGATGACCTGTTTGTATTCCTCTGGGAGACCTGCAAGAATACATTCAACTTGATCCTCATACTCACGTGGCTTACCAAGATTTGCAAGTTGATCAAACTTTGTTGTAAGTCCCATGATATACTCGTCAAGGGATTTGGTGCCTTTGGTGTAGACATCGATCTGGTTGTTGATGATCTTGATGTGGCCACGACTTGGATTAGCATAGACCGATACAAGCTTCTTCCAGATTTGAGTAGTAGTAACCGTACGTGAGACAGCAGGTTGAATGACCGGAGAAAGGGCACCAATCAACGCACTGTAGATCAATCGGTCTTGGCGTGTCCAGCGAACAAAATCCGGGATTTCAGTGTCAACACCGGCAACGGCAACAGTAGGTGGCGGAGCAGTGGTCGTCCCGTCAAGATGACCGGCGAAACCATAACCATCGAGTAATGACTTGACTTGGAGAGACCACATCATGTAGTTTGAACTTGTAAGCTTTGTGACATTCGACATGTTGATGTGAAGAACAGTTGTGGTAGCAAGCGGGACAGTGTTGGCGTTGTTGGCGAGAGCAGCCATGGCGATTTAGAGAGGCGACGGCTGTGAAAAAAAAAAAAATTAGGTTTGTGTTTTAGGTCTTTGGAGCGTAAAGCTCTGATACCATGTAAATGCTGAATGTTATATTTTATTAATGAGAATGATTACACATATATATACTAAGGCTTAAGCTTAACCTAGAAACTAATTACATATAGATCCCTATACTATTTGTATTTACATATCCTTATAGCTTACGCCTCTACAAGAATGTTCCTTATGACTAAGGCCCTTATCTTCATGAGGTAGGTTCTCTTGGTGGTGATCCGAACTCTTGGTATCCAACCAAACTCTATCTATTTCACCCGTCATGACCGTTGCCGTCTCCGGGAACCGGGACCCTTTTGATCTGGACATTTGTGTGTTCAATGTTGCAACCAAGACCTTCAAACGCTTCCCTAGACTCGATAACTTGAATATCAAGGATGCTCGATGGTTCCTACCTCGGACTTGATTCATTCATACTTAGGTGTACTTGATTCCTTTTAGTTCTATGTGGAATAGCCTTTTTTGTTTAGTTTTTTTTTGGTTTTGTTTCGTATATGCTTTTGAATTACAATCATCACCTATGAGTGCCTAATTTCAACAGATTTCAATAATGCCATCTTCTTCATACTTTATTAATGATTAAACCAACTGATTTGCTATTCTTTTTTAAAAAAAAATCTCGTGTCCTGAGTTAACTAATAGAATTCTGTTTCCTACCATCATATCCTTGTCGCTATTAGAGTCTCCTAATTACACGTTTTAGACGACCAACTTCGTCCATGAACTCTTCGCGGCTTACTCTGTGAAATTCGTATTCCATGCACCTTTCTTTTTTCACACTCTTTGTCTAAACAAAACTAGTGAAGCTTCGCTTCCCTCAAATGTAATGCACATTTCACAAGTTTTTATACCTCTATAGAGAGAGAGAATTCTCAACAAAGAACAAATAAACAAATCGGATTAGCCATATCGGATTCTATATATGAGTTTAACATGCTTAAGAAAAAGTATACCATCTATAAATTTCTAATCTAAACAAATGTCCAAAACCATTTTATTGATAAATACTTTACCTATCAGCTTACAAGTTATACAACTTGCAATTGGTGAAAAAAACAAAGCCTGTCCGTGACCACTAGATCGAAATTACCGAAATACCCTTTCGCATTTACTACAACAGATACAAAATCCAAGGTTATTTCGGTATTTTCAAGTTTCTGTCTAAAGCTCTTCTCTATCTTGATAACTCCCTTGTTCTGGTCGCCAAATAAAAAACGAAGTTCTCCTCCTCAAATCACAAGGACATAGACTGTAATTTCGCGATGGGGTCAAGGGACCAAAAGGTAAAATGGAGCTGGAGCTCAGCCTTAATCGGAGCAGCATCAGCAACAGCAGCAGCTTCTCTCCTAAGTGCCAAGCCAAAAGATCCAACATTCCACCTTATCTCTATAGACCTAACCTCACTGAAACTAAACCTCCCTGTCCTCGACGCAGAGCTAATGCTTACCGTACACGTCACTAACCCTAACATCGCAGCCATCCATTACTCATCCACCACCATGACAATCCTCTACGACGGCACGGTTCTTGGCTCGGCTGAGGTCAAGGCTGGTTCGCAGCCGGCGAGATCTTGTCAGCTTCTCCGGTTACCGGCGCGTCTCGATGGTATGGAGCTTGCGCAACACGCGCGGCAGTTCTTTTCTGACGTGGCGAAGAGAGAGATGAAACTTGAGGCTAAGCTTACTATTGAAGGAGCGGCTAAGGTTATGTGGTTGGATCATAGTTTTAGGGTTCACGTGGATAGTTTTGTTACCGTTGATCCTGTTTTTCTTGATATTATTGGTCAAGAGAATAAGTCTCAGATGGATTTGTTTCTTACTTAAAAGATAAATTATTATTGTACCATTTTTAGGTTGTGGTTAATTTAATATTTTTCACTTATTCAAAAAGTCTTTTTACCTTTTTAGTTAAATTTAAATTCGAGATGACTATCAGAAAAAATACTATTTCTTTACCAGAAAAAAAAAATACCATTTAATTATATAATCGACCGGGGGATATAAACGATGCAGCAATTCAACAATGCTTCCCAATGCTAATTATTTTGTTAATTATGGAAAACCCAAGTATTTTAGAAATTCATTTTATTTTGGACTTATAAATTACTACAAGGATTAAGAATTTGCAACAGAATTTGAACATGGTTTTCTCGGGTCTCTAATCATGATTAGTATTTGGGCCTAAAAAACTTTTAAAATCACCTAAATTATAAAAATACATCTAATAATTATTATTCTGTAAATTAATTAGATTAATTTTATCATTGCTTATTTAAAACTAATACGGTAATTTACTTCAAATGTTATAACAGTATCAAATACTAACATCATTTATATTATTGTCTTATTGATGTAATCACCAAAAAAAAAAATTTATATTATTGATGTAAAATTTAATATCAACTTTTGCAATTAACACATAAATATTTATAACAACCAAATCAAAATATTTGCATCACTTATTTCAGAGTCACTTATAACCAAGTCATCTTGGTCTAGTAGTAAATGAGAGAAAAAAATCTCCGCCACTTGGGTTCGAGTAGCATTTGCCACCGAAATTTAAATTCTAACATGGTTTCTCCGGACCTCATGTTTAGTCTTTGGACCGAAAAAGTATTGATGATCACGTAAGTCATTAAAAAAAAAAAAAACCCTACAGATCCATTCTTTAAATAGAGATAAGAGAGAAATAAGGATTTTCGGATAAAAACTACAAATCTATTCTTAAACTAGAGTTAAGATAAACTTTAAACCATATCTAGCCTCCTCGATATAAAAATACCTTAAGAATTTTGGTGAGACAATAAACCATAACCAGCTGGATTGACTTTGGTAAATTCTTTGAGAGTCTTCGGCTCAATTCCAAGAGTCATGAAGAAAATTTTTAAAGCTACATTTTTCCATGTTTCTCGTGGTAAACCCAGATAGACGAAGTTTATACAAAATTTACAAATAACCACTGTCGGACGAAATAACCAAAATATACGCCGGTGGAGCAACAGTTGTGTTAGCAGAAATGGTGAGATCATAAAGGTTTTCAGTTTGTAGAAGATCCACAACAATGTTTTCGATTTTGTAATTAAAATCACGTACCATAGCAAGCAAACAAAAGAGAAAATAACAATGGAATCAATCAAAGAGAAAATTTTGTACAAACGTTTTTTTGTGAATATAATTTTACATTTAGAAAAAAAATAAAGAAATTTTTTTTTCGTTTAAGTTTTTTTTTCTAAACCAAAATGTTACTAAAAAAACCTATTAACAACAGGCTTAATTAATATTTCTTAATTTAAAAGCTTAAGGTGATATGGTACTGACAACCAAAACGTAGTTTTATACAGATTATTCAGACTTGGGAAAGATGGTGTCTTCTCCGACCAAATGGCTAGCATTTTCAGTGTATTTGGAGGAGTTTAAAGAGACAAAGAATAATTTTCTAATTTCACTTTACCTTTAGTTTCACGTTGTACAAATGTTAAAGTGGATAATCTGTCACGAAAAATTCGTACTGAACCGCATTATAAATTTTCTCTTTTCCACCAGCTGTGAATTTACATGATCGATCTATATGGGCTTATACTTCAGATGGAAGATATTCAGTGAAGAGTGGAAATTGGGTTCTTAATCGGGAAGCTGCAGCTATGGAAGTAATATCATGGAACCTGCGGGCCAACAACAAGATTAAGGAAAAGGTTTGGGACATTCCAACGGCTCCAAAAATTAAATTGTTCCTTTGGCGGGTTCTGTCAGGAGCAGTGGCAGTAGCAGAATGCTTACGTAATCATGGGCTGCAGGTTAATCCGATTTGCCAGATTTGTAAACTTGAAGAAGAGACGGTTACACATGTTTTGTTTGGATGTTCTTTAGCAGCTCAGGTTTGGGTCAACACGAGCCTACCTTTACCGGATCAAGGTTTCTCTGCAGCCATTGATGAAAACATTGACTATGTCATGAAACTTATGGTGAAAAGTGAATTACCTTTACACATAAGGCAAGCGATTCCTTGGATACTATGGGAGATATGGAATGATCACAACATTCTTCTAGCCTCTGCTATTGAAGACGCAGAAGAATGGACTAAACAAAATAACATTCTCATGCAGGAAGTGCAGCGAGAGAACCATCGGCACAGGAGCGGAGTCAATAGATGGCTTAAACCGGCGGTAGGAGTATTAAAGTGTAATGTTCATGTCTCCTGGGTGAATGACAAGGCTTTTTGTGGTGGTGCGTGGCTTTTACGGGACCACTCGGGGCAGGCTTTGTTTCATTCTAGGGATGCATTTTTGCCAATGGTGAACCGTATTGCGGCAGAGTTACATGGTTTACTTTGGTGTTACAGAGCCTTCGTGATTTACAAATCAAATCATGCGAAATTTGGTCAGATTGTGGGACGGCGATTGCAGCGATTGAGGCTCCGGGAGCATGGCCTAAATACCGGTCGCAGTTGGACAAAATAACTACAGTGATACGGGTGATGCGAGGAATTAGTTTCAAACTCTCTCCACCGAAAGCCAATTTATTGGCTAAGGATATCGCTTGTAATGTGACTCGAGAAGGCCGTCTTACCTCGTATTTGGTTTCGGGTGGTCCAGCATGGTTACATAATCGACTCGAACAGGATCGACTTTATGGGAGCTACGAGCATCTCCAATGGCTCAATAATGGAGTTCTCTCAATGGGTTCTCAGAATGAAATTGTGAAAAATTAAATAAAAAATCGTTTTTACAGAGAGAGCTGTCTCTCTTGAGAGAAACTTTGAAAGAGAAGAGAGACGTGTACGTGTCACGTTCTAAATGGGTGTTTTGTTTGACAAAACTGAAAAAAAAATGTGTGAAAGAAAATACTTTGCCATTTTCTATTTTTCGCGAAACGCTCTCTTTTTTTCGCTCTCTTTCTCTCTTTGGCGAAACGAAACGACGATGATTCCTTCGGCTCCTGGTCCACAAATGATATTGCTTTGTAATGTATGATATTGCTTTGTAATGTATGATATGTTCATTTCAATTGACATAAACTGATTTTGGTCTATGTGGCTGACTTCAAGGAAACCATTGTGTTATGTTTGTTACTTAACCTTCCTTTTTGACTTCACTTCACTTCGATTTAGCTTATTGCGATTCATGGAAAATTTATCTTGTTGTGTAACTTGTCTTGATATGTCACCGGTTAAAGTAGTGTTTGGGACGAAGTGGTGTGTTGTCTGATGCCAAAGAGACCAACTTGTGCAAGTGTTTTTTTGCTAGATGCCAAAGAGACCAATGTGTGCAAGTGGTGTGTTGTCTAGATGCCAAAGGAGACAGTGCCAAGACAGAAAAGAAAAGGAGACTTGTATATGTACCACTAATAATTTATGAAAATTGTGTACCACAAATAAGCTAGAATGAATGTGTACCACAAACTTTATTCTTTGTATGTTTTGCCTTTGCTATAAATAATGGAATCGTCTTTCGATATCTCACAAATCAAGTTTTTCTATTATTGTTCTTTGCTTCAACTACAAAAACAACCATCGCCTTAATTTTTCTTTGCTTCTACCACAAAACAATCAATCACCAAAGCTTTTGCAAATTTATTTTCAAATATATGAAATTATTGTATGTTTAATATGTTATGAATTGTAATATTTTTCAGTTTTATGAAATAAAATAATTAAAAAATAATTTAATTTTTTTCTGAGAACCTCACAAAGAGAGCCTACCATTGGACTTTGCAAAATTAAAAAAATTAACAAAAGCTCTCATCAATAAAATTTGAAAATTTTATTCTTAAAAGAATGGTGCTCTCACCATTGGAGATGCTCTAAGGCTCTGTTTCTCCTTTTTTTTTTTTTTTTTTTTTGCAGCTCTATTTTGGGAGTTCCCTGTTCTTTATGTTTTTGTGGTTCTTGTAATTTTGATACATTCATCGTTTTCAATATGACTAGATTATGTACCCGCGTGTTGCGCGGGATTTTAGTTTGAAGGTTTTATCAATTCGAATCTTTGAATATAAATTTTACAAATTAAATTTTAATTTTTTTTTTACTTTATTCATATGCATTATCTTTCCAAAGTAGTAAAAACATTCTCTCACTTTTCACTACAATTTTTCTCGTTATCTTCTATGATTCACTCATCGTCTCCTAATATCGACTCTTTTTCACCTTATATTGACTCACATAGAACATACTCAAATTTGAATTAGTTCTCAAGATAGATTGTATATTTTTTCTCCTTCCTATCTTCAAATACTTAATTATATTTTAAACGTTGCATGATATTTTTACTAAAGCAAACATCAGAAAATCTGAGAAAATATTTTGTCATAAGGTTTCTTTAGCCATGTTTTGGTGCATGTAAAATTGTTTTATAAACAACAAATTTCATATATAAACTCATTCTTATATATTCACAAACATCGGATTTTAACATTAAATTTTTTCATTTTATCTTGATTGTTTGAAAGATACAAAATTCTCTTTTCTAAAATATGTAAATTAAGAAATCATAAAAATTATTCTAGTGTTTAACTACGTTTATTTTTTATAACAAAATCATTCTTATTTCTAATTATTAAATAGCATTCTCAAATATTATTATTAGAATTTTTATTATTCGAGTAAATTATTTTATTTTTATTTGTGATGTTTAGGATAGTTTTTTTGTTTTGTTTCAAATCACCTTTATTTTTTTCAATCTATGTTAATTTTCTTAACACACATTAATAATTAGTTTTTATTTCTTAAGTATTCATTTTTTATATAAAAAAATGTCCAGTTTTTAATTGAGAAAACTTTAATAATATAGACAAATTTATTAATTTAACTATTTATATTATATTATAATTATAAATGATAATATGTATTCATTCCTTCTTATTTTTTAATTGGTATCATGAACTGATACTTAAACTTAACAAATATATTCTCAAATTCTAAATGTGTATTTTTAAAAAATGAAGTACTTTTTTAGTTAGGACCTTTAAATTTGGTATTTTTTTAACTCTTATTTTTTAAATTCACCTAAATAATTATAACTCTTAAAAGTGATTGTTGTATAGTCTTGGAAGTTTGGTTATCCGATCGGTTTCGGTTCGGTTCCATTCGGTTCCGGTTATTTTGGTTCTAGAGTTTAGTATCTATTCGGGTATTTTGAAATTTTTGTTCAATTTCGGTTTGGTTCCGGTTCTTTCCGTTTTAAAATTTAGTATCCATTCGGGTATTTTGCTTCAGATATTTTTGGATATTTCAGTTATTTTTGAATATTTTTGGATATTTTTCGGTTATTATTTAGTATTTTTATATAGTTTTGAGGTATTTTTGATTATTCAAAAAAATAATATTTTTAGCTATATAATTATATTTTGGATATTTTCGGGTATCCAAAATATTTTGGATTGGTACCGATTCGGTTCCTGTTCTTACGGTTATAGAATTTAGTATCCATTAGAAAATATTTACTCATTATATGTTAAGACATGATTATCTAACTTTATATTTTTCTAATCTCAATTCAAAAGTTTTATATTTTGTGTTTTATATTTATTGTTTTGTTTTTTCATATTTAATATATTTTTTTGTTAATTATTAATTTTTGATGAAAAATAATAATTTAAAATATGTGAATTAATTTAGTTTTGTTTTAGTAAATAAGATATGTGGAGCCTAAAAAAAATAAGAGAAATTGTTAATAATGCCCTGTTTCACGCACCCTTTTTTAACATTGCCCCTTTTTGCTTGCCATTTTTAAAAATACTCCTTAATTAATTCAAATATGACCAAAGTACCCTTGCTTTCATAACCTAAGATCTGCACGGTTCTCTCAACCATTCTCTCTCTTTCTCTCATTTCGATCGGCGACGATTTTCCGATCTCGATTCCGATATCTCGATTCCGATATCAAATCGGCGTCTCCTTTCGATTTTGCTTTCTATCTGTGGTAAAATCTCGTTGTTCGTTTTCGATTTGATCTGTTCGATTTCGATCGGCGTTAACATCTTTTTGTTCGATTTTGATTTCTCAGCGTCTCCGTCTCCGTCTGTGTTTTATTTCGATCTGTCTCACATCGATTCCAGGTTAGATTCCTCACTATGTTTTAGAAGCTTTTTTGAAAGGTTTGTCTTTTGGAAGTTAGATTCTGTGGTTTGATTATGTGGTTAGATTCTGTGTTTCTGTGAAAGTTTGGTCTTCTTGAAGCTTTTTTTATCTCATTATTGACTGATAACGCTTGATTTGACTGCTTGATTTTGAACTGTAGATTTTACAACATTTTTAAAGGTTCGTTCTTAACTTGTAAATGCTTCTTAATGCTTGATTTAGGGTATATCCTCTATGATTTATTCCATTTCTTGATTTTATAACCGTTAACTGTGGATTTTACAACATTTTTTAAAGGTTCGTTATTAATGCTGAATTATTCATTTGCTGTAATTTACAACCGTTTTAAAAAGGTCTTAAATGCTGAATTATTCCTTTTCTGTATTTTACAACCGTTTTAAATGTTTTACATTCTTGATATGGTTTTTATGCTTGGTTTTTACGCAGATGTCTAACAATGACTCATTGGATGTGCTTAACCTACCGCCCCGTATATATAATCCCGGGTTTGAACCAAACATTGGAGCTGTTGTTATTCAACATTTCGAAACGCATTTGGTCAAAAAAGTTGAGCTCGCACTAGGGGAGGAACAGTTTAATCTAATTAAAGCCTCTTTCCTTGGTCCTATTATTGAACTAGCAAAAAGAAGTGGAGTTAATTTTTCGGGGAAGATTTTCCACTTCTTGATGCAGCGAAGGTTGCTTTTAAAGGAGAAGAATCTCTGGTTCACATTTGACTCCCAGCCAATGCGATTCTCAGAGAGAGAATTCTTGCTTACCACAGGTATATCTAAATTAGTTTTGTTTTGTAAGTTTTTAATCAATTTACAATGTGTTTTAAAAGTTTTACAATGTATTTAAAAACATTTAACAATGTGTTTTACAAGTTTTTATAAAACTCTAATATCAAATTTGTATTCACTTACAGGTGTTCAGTGTGACCTGATTGATAGTGAAATGCTTCGAAAAGGCAAAGCTCCATCAAAAGCTCCATATTTCTGGACTCAGAAAGAGCATTTTACGCTGGAACAACTCCAAAAACGTTTGTTTGAACCAAATCAGCTGCATCCGCTGGATGCTGAAGAGAAACTGAGTCTAGGTATGGTAATTTTGACAGAAGCCTTTCTCTTTACACCAGGTTCGTTGGAGAAAATCCCTTTGTCTAGACAGGTACATGCTTCAGAATTCGCAATCTACACATCTCAACCATTGGGCAAGCATGCATATAGGGTTCTTGCTACAAGCATCCAACGGATAAATGAGAATACTTGGGCAAGAGGCACATATGAAGTAAAGGGATTTGCAATGGCGATACTACTATGGACCTTCAGCGCAGTTCCATCTTTGGGCTCAGCGTTTGCAACAGAATGTGTTACATCGAGATCTGAGTATCCTTTGTGTTTGAAATGGGAAACAACTCAAACACCAAGATTTTCTCATGTTGTCGATGTCGTCAAAAAAATGAACTCAGTGTGTGGAATCCCCTCTTTTAATTGCCTTAGTTTTAAGATTGATGTTCAACATATATCATATTTTTACAAGAGTTTTTAAAGGTTTTACAAGTTCTTTTCTTTTGCCAGGTCAAGGTTAATACAGTGATTGGAAACCCGTACGAATATAGCTATTTAGTTGCTAGTTCGCATGAAGACGACATAGACTTCGAAGAAATTGTTCGTCTTGTTCAAAATGGATACAGACTCAAAGCAACTGATTGGAGTGCTGGATTTGTTGATATTTTTACTGTATTACAAGAAATAGGGGAACAAACAATGAATAACAACTTGTCTGACAGCCAGAAACTCGACAAGATCCTAAATTTACTTCAAGACTTCAACAGGAGGATTGCAGTAATAGAGTATGTTCTTAAAAGCCGTCTTGAAAAAGATGAGACTGAGAGATGCAAAAAAAAAGAGGTAATTAAATGGGATTTTTTTTTTTTTTTTTTTTTTGTCAGTTACATGTGTATATAGTATATATTAAGATATCTGTATCCTTTTTTCTGCAGTCTGATATACAAGAAGAAACATGTGCCAGAACAGAAGAGGTATGTGAATAATTTTATTAAATCCTTTTCAATCAAAATTCGGATAGCTTTTTACAAGTATTCAGAATGTTTTTATAACTCATCTTAAATAATTTACAAGGTTTTTTAAAAAGTTCTTACAAAGGTATTCAAACTTTTTTTGATCCGTTAAGTATTATTATTATTATAGGATCCATAGCTGGGCAACACTCTCTTGAACCAAAGTTTTTAAAAAGTTCTTAACTGTTCACACACACACCTCTTGAACCAAACTTTTTTGTTACATATTGTTTTTTGTTTACTGAATATGATTGTTTTGATTCTGTAGCAGTCTGACAAAGCTTGTCCCAATATAGATGGTGATATTGGTGTTGATGGTGATAGCAGAGAAGGTGATGAATGTGGTCCAAGTAGAGATGGTGAAATTGATGTCGATGGTGATAACAAAGAAGATGATGAATGTGGTCCTAGTACATTTGAAGATTCCATTCGTGAGCCTAACACAGAGGACGGGAGCTATGCTGGAGATGATGAAAACAGCCAGAAGATTCGTTCTGAAGATGATACAGCTGAACCTACAGCAAAGGTATATTGATCTACTTTTGTTTAAAAAGTCCTTGATATCTGAGTATCATTTTTGGTACTAATCCTATGGTTTTACAAGAGGTTTTAAAGTGTTTTAAACGGTTTTACAAGGGTTAATATGTTTTACAAGGGTTTTATAAGGATTTTACAAGGGGTTTTAAAGTGTTTTAAAGGGTTTTACAAGGGTTTTAAAAAGATTTTATATAGATCTTACAAGTGTAACAACTTTTTGAAAACCCCTACCCGAAATTTCTCTACTCCAAATTTCATTATTATCTGAGAATCATTTTTGGTACTAATCCTATGGTTTTAAACACTTTTATAGGATAAAACCCCTACCCCAAATTTCTCTACTCCAAATTTCAATATTATCTCTGAAGATAGTCAGGATAAGGAGAAGGAAGGAATTTCAGTTTCTGAAACAAACAATGAGGCATGTAAGAAAAGTTCTGAAAGTAAGAAATACTGTAGAAAGAAGAGATATGTCAGAGAAAGAAAAGAGGTTAGTATTCAATATTATAAAAGAAGATTTCTTACAAAATGAAGGTCAATTTAGAGATATGTTTTAAATGTTTATAATGAAATGTTTATAATGAAATATATTCAAAGTACTTACAGGGGACTTTTTTTTTTTACTTTTTTCACCTGCAGACAAATAAGCGTAAACAAGGGGATAATTCTTATAATGATATTCCTACAAGAAAACAGGTAAGAATTCAATTTTGTAAAACAATCTGTTCGTTTTTATAAACTAATTTCACAAGGAATGCATTGTTGCATTTCTTTTGTACATATATAAGCAAAGACATTACAAGTTTTACAAATTGTAATGTCTTTTATTACTTCACAAGGAATGCATTGTTTTAAACTGAGTATTCGTGGCATTGTTTGAAATTTTTACAAGTTGTTTTTATAAGTGTTATTTTGTTTTTTTTTGTTTGCAGCCTCTAGAGAAAAAAATGCAAAAATACTGACAAAGTG